CAGTACATTGTTTAGATTGTCCAAAAAAGTTCGAATTTGTTCGTATTTTTGGACGAAAAAACGCCTAATTTTGACACATTACTGTAGCTACATCCCTCATCACATAATAATTGTTTTTATTTCATAAAAAAGAGCATCGTTTTCTATGTCATATGTATTATTTTCAGCGTTCTGGCACACCACTGTGATAAACAACACACCACTTTTCAAAGATGTCTATTTGATTTGTGTAATTTTTAGAAAACAAAATTTCAAAAGATCAAATTTGACCTACAAAAAAAACTACTAAAGTGGGCTTTAAAACACCAAAGGATAATTTTTTTTATGTAATTGGACATTTCTTAACAAGTTGGAATTATCAAGACATCAGAATTCCACTTCGATTTTTTTCCGGCTAATGTCATCATATGGCCCATTGTGCGGCAGGGGATTACAAGGGGGGTTACAATTATAGCAAAAAATAAGCAAACAAAAACATAGCCGCATACGCGAAACTTATTGTACGTATCATTTGACATATAAGAAGCTTAAAAAATATCGTCTGCAATCTTAATTCCAAGGCAAAAGTCGTCTGCCACCCACAAAAATATCGCAAAAAAATATTTATTTCCGCAAAGATGAAATTAATTAAAATGCTTATTTTTATAGTAACAAAGAGAAAAATAATAGCCTGCCGCCAATTACATACGGCAAAGATCGTCTGCCAAGCCTATGAAGTTGCGCATATATTAAGTGTAAATATAGAGTTATAGGCCAAAACGCTTAAAAATATTAGAATGATAGTTAGACAATCGGAATTAATTGAAATAAGTCTATATTTTGCAAATTTTTAAGTTTGTTTTAACAACTATAGTCACATTCAACATCTCTGCTTCCTTTGTATCGCGGTTCAAGGACACCCTGTCAAAATGTTTGTATTTGTATATTTTGACAGGAGAAGAAGAACATTTTTTACTTGTAAGTATACACAATTATGCAGTCGCCGATATCTGATGTGAAGCCGTAGAGATTTCTCGGCATTCTGTTTTTCTTGTACTCATCGGATTTTGAGATATGCTCCTCATCTTCTCATATATTTATTTCCATATCCAAATCAGAGCTCTGTGGCACATATTCGATATCACAGCTCTCATGTGAATCAATATTCGCACTGCATAAAATATTAACAGTATTAAAATTTGTTAAATATAAGTAAGTCAAACACAATTTGTACTACATTTTGAACTTAATCTGAAATCATTCTCTGGACTGAAAAACATAATTACATTAACATTCATATATGAGCCGTTCAGTGCACAAATTGATTAACTCCATCAACAAAAAGTTGGGAGATGCGATCAAATAATGTACATACATTATTTTTTTAAATTCCATTTATATCATAAAATTAAATAAAAAATGTTGTTATAAATATTATGTACTATTGTATGTTATATAAAGTTATTATAAACGTAATAACTTATGACTATACCAAGGGCTTTGACACTTAAATTTAAGATTTTTCAAAAAGTGGAGTTAATCGATGTGTGCACTGAACGGCTCATAATCGAGTCCGATATATCAAACGTGCTGGAATGAGAGTTTAATGCCCCTATTACGGTTTACAACTCAACTCCATTTCAGTTGAAAACTTACAATTTGGTATTATCGATAACAACTCAACCTGTCAAAAAATTTTTCGTTGTATTTATATCGTCTTACAACTTTTTTGTGGTATTACCGTTTACCACCCTGTGCTAGTTCGGTTGACAAAAGTATCGAAAATCGACAACTCATTACTAGCAGTTGTTTTGAACAAATTTTTAAGCGAAAATGGAAAGCGGGTAATTAAATTTCTTTAATTTGTCTCAAACCAATATCTTAATCAGGAATTTCTTACAAATTTGTAGAAAAAATAAAGTTAGAACAGTTTGAAAAACTAGTTGAGCTGATGGAGAAGCATCCCGAAACTGGACGAGGCAAGCCGCAATTTGGAAGCAGCAAAAGTAAAAGCAAGGGATTGTGGGAGCAATTTGCCATAGAGCTAAACAGTTTAGGACCACTAAGAACTGCGCACGAGTGGGGACGAGTAAGTAGTAATCATGGAATTAGACCAATACAATGAAAGCGCAATAATTTATTTCTCCTGTAGGTTTGGATACACTATAAGGCAAATTTAAAAAGGAAGCTTGCCAACAATCGCAGCAATATTATTGCAACTGGTGGTGGTCCGTCGCAAGAAGTTTCTTTAAATCCACTAGAAGAAAGTGTTGCGGAACTTATTAAGATAAGGGAACAAGTTGCACCCAGTGGCCGGGCGTTCGGGGTAGAGAATATACCACCGGTGATGGATGGCGAATAAATAGAAGACGGCTTAGTTGCAGCTTCGTCCATGGTTGATGAGCCCCAGGTAGCAAACATTGAAGATCGGCCCTCTTCGTCAGCATCGCGTGTACAAAATCGCCGCAGAAGCTGCAATTTAGAAACTGAGCGTCTAGAGCTCCTAAAAATGCAGGCAGAAACGCAAAAAGGGGTACTAAAAAAAATTGATAGAATGGAAAAGACGGCGTACAAAAATTACGACATTAATAAAAAATTGCTGCACATAAAGCACCAAAAATATAAATTGTTTGAAAGGCAGGCTAGGGAAGCCCATGAACTATATTTGTTAATTAAAAATAGCTAAATTAAGAGGCTATTTGCAAGACGAGAACAGCTCGTGAATGGAGAACTGATGCTTATTTGACAAACATTGAAAGGGTTTTCATTTAATAATTTGAAATGTTTTTTTAATTTAATTTTACAACATGAAGTAATATTTTTTTTTATTAATTATAAGTTTTGCAATCCCTAATTTTAAGACCACATGAAGTGATATTTTTTTAAATTAACTGTTTTGAAAACCCTAATGTTAAGAGCACATGAAGTGATATTTTTTTAAATTAACTATTTTGAAAAACCTTATTTTAAGAGCACATGAAGTGATATTTTTTTAAATTAACTATTTTGAAAAACCTAATTTTAAGAGCACATGAAGTGATATTTAATGAAAATTAAATATAAGTTCTTAAACCATTGAAAATAAAAGAAGACTGAATGAAGTGCAAATAATTAAATGTGAGTTAGAGTTTTTTATTTCTATTAAATGGATAACAAAATATTATTGCGAATTCTTCTGGCGGCATCCTCGTCTTCTGTTTCAATGTTTAGGTTTTCATTGCTTAGTTCCGTACTTAAAGCGGTTGCAATTTCTTCAGAAAGTTCCACGCGAAAGTGTTGACAAATATTATGCAAAGCGCAGCAAGCGTTCACAATTTGTGTAGATTTTGCTGGTGAATAATTTAAGCCACGCACAGATAAAAGACAACGAAATCGGCTTTTCAATATTCCAATCGTCCGTTCTACAATATTTCGAGCCTTAGAGTGTATTGTATTGTAGCGAGCTTGTGGTGAACCAGCTTCTGCCATGCGGAAAGGAGTCATTAAAAAAGTTTGTAGAGGGTAACCAGCGTCGCCTTTAAGGAATATTTTAAACAATCTATTTTTGTATTAAATACTAATGACCAGTCTTACCTAAAATTCAGGAATTACTCTGTATGTTTCTCTGCAGATGCTCTTTCAAATCGCTTACGTTAAAAACAAAGGAATCGTGATTTGCGCCCGCGTGCCTAGCATCCACATACCGGATAGCCATTTTGTAATCGCAAAGCTTGAAATCGAAATAGATGTCATGACCATTTTCTTTTAAAGTATTATTTGCTTTTTACATTTTCACTTACAATCATGACGTTTAAACTGTAGTAGCCTTTCCTGTTTAGATAAAGATGTTGCATTTCTTTTTTTGGTGAAATGATGCGAACGTGAGTCCCATCGATACAACCCACTACTCCGGGGAATCCGCTTTTTGAATAGAATGCAATTATTGACGCGTTTTGCTCCTCTTCAGTCATTTGGGTTGTAATCCATTTTCCACAAATATGCTGCTCAATTATATTTAAAACCTCCTTAATAACTACAGATATTGTAGGTTGCGCCAGTCCAACATGAAAATCATTTCCACTGCACTTTTGATAACTGCCGTCAGCAAGGAACCTGAGAGTTGCACATAATTTCAATATGGGAGGTACAGCCGTTCCTCGCACACGTTTCTGGAAATGTTCCTCCATCTCGTTTAGCAAAAAGACAAATGCTTCCTTATTCCAAAGGATTCGAGTGATCACGAAGCCTTTTCCGTATGCGCAGCACATCAGTTTTGGGACCAACATTTTCATCGTTGTAAAATAAATCAACGCTTATGTCCATTTTACTTTTTATTTGAAAAAAAAAACACTTCTCGTAAACATTAAGTAAAGTATATTGTTTTAATTTTTCGCCACAAAATCATCAGCTGTTTAATTATCTGTCAAATCGTCACTTTTTTAGGTTGGCAACATCAATACAACTTCAGCTGAATTGAGTTGTAATTCGTAATGCCAAAAAAGTGTTAAGTTGTTTTAAAGTTGAGTTGTTTCAATTTCAATTCAACTGAGTGGAGTTGTAAACCGTAATAGGGACTTAAAAATCTTGACATAACAACGGAATGATTCGCTTAATTCAAAATTAGTTTTCCATGGCTGCAAAACCGGAGGTCGAAAATGTCTTGATACTCGAGAGGGAATGTTGAAGTTTACTCCAAACAGAAGGGACGGGCTATTAATCAAGCCTGTCATTAATTTTACAATAAATATTACACCGTTTCTCTACGACTTACAAGTGTTGGAAAATTAATGAGCTTTCGACGAATAGTGTAAGGGGGGAGATTGTACTCTGAATCCCAGTTAAAATATCGCACAGAAAAAAGTAAGAACTGTATTTGAATTAATTCAATCAATTCTGAATGAACTTGATAGTGGGGACTCTAATATTGGACTAACGAATGTTGTAAAAAGAGATTTTGTAACATAAAAGCATAAACAGACGGCAACGTTGATCCGGGTCAACTCGGGAATTAACTGCAGTTTATCCGGATTAAGTCCGAGTTAATCCCGGTCAACGCTGCCTTCTGTTTAAGCTTTAAACCAAAGTGACTCCGTGTTGCCATGGCAACGCAAAATACATCACGTTTGAGAGGGTGTAAACCAAAAACCGCTTACTTCAAAATGCTTATATGTACGTTAACTAATTCCTAAAAGGTGTATCTTTCGAAACGCTAACGCTTCCGTCAGATCCTTGCTTTCTATCGAGTTTAATGCATTGTGTACAAATACAAGTGAGATATCTTAGCAATAGACGTCATCCTGGGCCACAGCTGCGATCATCTGTTTTTTAGAGTTGCTTATTTTGGTCTAAACTGCGCTTTTTTGACCTGAGTTGCATTAAATAGTCTCTTGAAACTTGGTAGTATTTGTTGTTCAAATGGTAACATATATGCCCAAAAACTTGAAAAATATTAGATGATTGCTTTTTAAAAATGCTATTTATAAAATTTCGTTTTGATTGCGCATTAGAAATATTCAGATTATAAAAGTTTTTCACATATATTTTAAAATTTTAAAGCTTTTAAAAAGGACGGTAGAATGCAACAATGTGCTTGAATTTGTATGCATCTTCGTCAGCTTATTCAGACTAGAAAAATGGAGACTAGAAAAATGGCGAACAGCCATCAAAATACTGATTCAAAATACACATCTTTCACTGGACACACAAATGGGTGCGCGCAGCAAAATTCAGCCCTAATGGTAAGTTAATTTCATCGTGCGGCGATGACAAGTTAAGAATTTGCGATACATTTTCAGGCGAATGTGTGCGAACGTTCACCGGGGGAAGAGGTATGGGACGACAGCTGGCATGGCATCCAGACGGTAATCTGGTGGCTTTAGCATTAAGTTGTAACCGCGTTAAGATATTTGACATAGCTGAAGGCGAGCTAATACAGTGCATTCGTCGCCGGAGAATGATGTTGCATTTCATCCAAGTGGAAATTTCTTGGTGACTGGCGGCGATGACGATACAATAAGATTGCTTGATTTATTAGAAGGTCGACCAATTTATACACGGTAGTAGTGCACTTTAGCGGAACCATATAATATAAATTTTTTCCTGTATTCAACAGTTGCTCGTTTGGAAATCTAATTTGCATACATTTGATGCCAATAGCTCTCCCAACAAACAAGCCAGTTCTCAAATTGATTTTAGTCATGCAACAGCTCCACATAACTCCGCCATAGACACACCAGTTGCTGGAGTACTAAAAAGCTGTGATGACAGTATTTTAATTGATCCACGACAATCGGTGGCATATGGAATGCGTGATGGAAATTTTCTGGTGCTTGATAGCCAATATACTACAAGAGTGAAACGTTGCAAGTGAAACGCTGTGATAGTAATTTTTCTTAAATTTCCATCTTTTATTTGCAGTTACATTAAGAAACTCATAGAGGACAGAGCTGTTGGTGAGGAAGGTGTCGAGTTACTGCAGTACTGCAACTGGGAAAATCCGCATTTCGCACGTGCCCCACTCGTATGGAATAGTAGCTTATGTCAAAAGGCTGGTTTTAGTATAATGCGGCATTCGCAGCATACCCTCACTGGCGCCGAGCCGTTGAAGAAATTTTGGCAAATAAACGTGCAAGAAATAGTTCCGATACTAGCACGTCCATATTCTTGTTAAGGGTCATCAAAAAATTCCTTGTGTTGTAAATAATAAAGGGAATGCCGGATTATACTAAAGCCAGCTTCCCGACATAAACTACTATTCCATACGAACACAGAAATATAAATGTATCTAAAACTGAATAACTCAAATCAAATTGGATTGCATTTGCATAATATACCTAATATTGGAATCTGTTTTGATCGTAAAGAATACAACTTGCAATCATTTAGATTATAGTTTTGAAAGAAACTGATTGTAATCGTAAATTGTGTAAAAATTGTTAATAGCAATCTGCCTTAAATTTATGTTCCCCATGTAACGGTTATAAAATACGCTAAATCCGCACTATCTGCATTAACAAAAAATATACATTGGAATATTTAAAATAAGACGATTCATATTTATTTTCTAATAAGAATTGTTTCTTAATTGAAAGTATTTAATACTAATATAATGTAGTGGTTAATGTTTAAAAATGAATTCGAAATATGTCCGCAGCTCAGGTTGATTTGAAGAAATCCGTTTAAATTTTTTGAATTACACCTACTTGAATATAGGATAGGCAGGGTTGCATACAAATGGTAGTTCCGTAAATATTTAAAATATGTTAGTTCATTCAATATTTACATCTGGGCCAATAAATAATAACAAATATAGCCGAAAAAACAAAGTTTCGATTAAAACGAGTTTTTATAACCCCCCATAAAATTCCGATTAATTTTAAATACGAAAATAACGATATTTTTTCATGGAGGGGTATTTTTTTAATATACCTTGTTTATACCTACACAAGAACCACATTAGCAAAAAACCGATTGGACTCAACATATATTTCTTTACAACATTTATACCCCTGTCTTTATAGCGGACTCGATAAAGCCTTATTCAAAAGTAAACAAAATCTGCTATTTTTAAACGAAATTTTTTTAATAAATAATTTGCGCGGTTGACCGAAATGGAAA